GAAACATCATAACAAGGACACTGCCGCCGTTGTTGAGGAGGTTGACAGGCTACTTGCCGCTGGGGCAATTAGAGAAGTAACCTACCCTACGTGGCTCTCTAATACAGTGGTGGTGAAGAAGAAAAATGAGACTTGGCGAGTGTGTGTCAATTTTACCGACCTAAACAAAGCCTGCCCTAAAATTGCTTTCCCCTACCCAGAATCGACCAACTTGTCGACGCGACGACTCGCCATCAATGTATGAGCTTCCTCGATGCTTACCGAGGCTACCATCAGATCGCCATGCATCCAGAAGACCAGGACAAAACTGTATTCCTCACCCAAAGAGGAACCTACTGTTATAAGGTCATGCCTTTCGGGCTGAAGAATGCAGAGGCAACCTACCAAAGACTGGTCACCACCATGTTCAAGGAGCAACTCGACCACACTATGGAAGTGTACATTGATGATATGGTGGTCAAGTCCAAGGAAGAACAGAATCACATAGCCGATCTAGAGAATACATTCGGCATTTTACGAAAATACAAAATGAAGCTGAATGCTTCCAAATGTGCATTTGGAATCGGCTCCGGCAAGTTCTTGGGCTACATTGTCAACCACCAAGGAATCAAGGCCAACCTGAGGCAAATTACAACAATCTTGGAACTCAGTTCCCCTCGTTCGGTAAAAGAGGTTCAAAAGTTGATGGGGATGGCCGCCGCACACAACAGGTTCATCAGTCGGTCCACAGATCGCTGCCGACAATTCTTCCATACACTACGACAGGGCAAGGCTTTTGAATGGTCCGCCGAATGCGAAGCCGCTTTCAACGGACTCAAGACCTACCTTCGCTCAGTACCACTCTTGTCAACACCTGCTGCTGGTGACCGGCTCATTTTGTATTTGGCAGTCTCCGACAGGGCCGTCAGCGTCGTACTGGTAAAGGAAAAGTTGGGGGAGCAGCGGCCAGTGTATTTCATGAGCAAGGCTATGGTTGACGCTGAAACACGCTACCTTCCACTGGAAAAACTCATCCTTGCCCTAGTCAGGGTGGCAAGAAAACTGATGCATTACTTCCAGGGACATAGCATTGGGGTGCTAACAGATTATCCCCTTCGATCAGTACTACGGAGTGCAGAAGCATCAGGACGTGTTTCAAAATGGGCTCTTGAACTCGGCCAATACAACATACAATTTTTACCTAAAACCGCAATCAAGGGGCAGGTGTTGGCCGACTTTGTTGCCGAATTCACAAGCGAGCTTGCCAGCCTCAAACCTGATGAAGTTCGACCGAAGGCTGAAGTTCGACCAAAGCCGAACTGGAGAATTTATGTCGGGGATATTTGGCAATTATACTGTTATGGATCATCTAACCAAAGGAGCAGCGGCGCCGGAGTTGTAATCATGTCTCCAGACAGCGCAGTAATTTAGCAGGCCGTCAAGCTTGGCTTCGAAGCATCAAATAACGAAGTCGAATACAAAGCCCTTCTAGCCGGTCTGCGAAATGCGTACCTTCTCGACGCTCGACGTCTACTTGTGTTTTGTGATTCAAAATTGGTAATCAGTCAGCTAAAGGGAGAGTATGCGGCAAGAAACGACCGTATGGCGGCCGACATGAAAACGGCCAATTCTTTGCTGGCAAAATTTGACCATCACGAACTGAACCAAATAACACGCGACCAGAACACACACGCGGATGCCTTGGCGTGCCTAGCATCCGCCATCAATTCTGAGATGAAATGGACCATTGAAGTAGGTTTCATCCCGGAGCCGAGTATTGGCCCTTCGGAGGAAATCCATGTTAACATTATAGAATCTGCACCAAGCTGGATGGACCCCATTGCTGCATTCCTCTCTTCTGAATAACTCCCAGAGGACAAAAAAGAAGCACACAAGCTGCGAAATAAAGCCCTGCGATACTATCTGGATCCGCAAGGAGGGCTTTATAAAAAGTCCCTCTCTGGTCCATATTTGGAATGCGTGCACCCCGACAAAGTGGAGGAGCTTCTGACAGAGATACATGAGGGCAGTTGTGGTGCCCATTCTGGCGGACGCTCCCTGGCCCATCGAGCTATAACACAGGGGTATTATTGGCCGACAATGAGAGCTGACGAGGAGAGTTATGTAAAAAAATGCGAACAATGCCAAAAGTTCTCCCCATTAACCCATTTGCCTGCTGAAGGGTTGAACTCTATCACCAGCCCCTGGCCGTTTGCTCAGTGGAGACTTGATATCGTAGTACCATTGCTCAGGGCCCTAGGGAACAAGCGATTTTTAATCGTCGCGACAGATTACTTCACAAAATGGGTCGAAGCGGAGGCTTTAACACATATACGAGATGCCGACATTAAACGCTTTGTATGGAGAAACATCATAACACGATTTGGCATTCCGAGAGCTCTCATCTCAAACAATGGCACCCAGTTCGATTGTGGCGTATATCGAGAGTTATGCAGCAAATATGGCATTCGGCCTTACTTCTCTACACCAGCCTACCCCCAAAGCAATAGTCAAGCCGAAGCCTCTAACAAATCCATCTTGGACGACATCAAAAAGAGGCAAAGCAATGGTCAAGCCGAAGCCTCTAACAAATCCATCTTGGACGGCATCAAAAAGAGGCTGGAAAAAGCTAAAGGCAAATGGGTCGAAGAATTGCCGAGTGTATTGTGGGCTCATCGTACTACGCCGAGGAGATCCACTAGAGAAACGCCGTTTGCTCTATGCTTCGGAACCTAGGCAATCTTACCCTTGGAAATCGGCCTCCCAACTCTAAAATCGCAAGTTTTTGATACGGGCCGAAACGACATGATGCTTGCCCTGGATCTGATTCTAATCGAAGAACGAAGAGACCGCTCCCTTGCATCCATGGCACGGTATCAACAGCAGCTCGCCTAGTCGTATAATCAGCGAGTTCAGTTGCGCTAATACACGCTAGGAGAGTTGGTCCTAAAGAAGGTACTTCCAGCAAACCAGAGACCGGCCGATGGAAAATTGGGTCCGAACTGGGACGACCCCTATCAGATAGAATCCATCGCAGGAACAGGGACATACCGGCTCTCAGACATGTCAGGAAGAAGCCTGCCACGGCCTTGGAATTCAACTCATTTACGTAAATTCTATCATTGACCCGACTTGTGGGCTTGTTACTTGTACATATTCCACCGTTGCAATACAAATCTTCTCGTTTTCTCAAGCTCGATCCCAAGCCTGTAAGGGCTGATTAAGCCTTTTAAGGCCAAAATAAAGTCTCCGGATTCGGAGCGCCCTTTGTGGATATCACGATTGGACAAAATAAAGTCTCCGGATTCGGAGCTCCTTTTGGAGCATGACACCTTAGGGCCGATTAAGTGTCTGGAATCGGAGCGCCCATCGTGGATATCTCGATTGGCCAAATTAAAGTCTCCGGATTCGAAGCCGCTTTTGGTGCATGACACCTTAGGGCCGATTAAGACTCCGAATTCGGAGCGCCCTTCGTGGATATCACGATTGGCAAAATTAAAGTCTTCGGATTCGGAGCCCCCTTTGGTGCATGACACCTTAGGGCCGATTATGACTCCGGATTCGAAGCGCCCTTCTTGGATATCACGATTGGCCAAAATAAAGTCTCCGGATTCGGAGCCCCTTTTCGTGCATGACACCTTAAGGCCGATTAAGTCTCCGAATTCGGAGTGCCCTTCGTGGATATCACGATTGGCCAAATTAAAGTCTTCGGATTCGGAGCCCCTTTTGGTGCATGACACCTTAGGGCCGATTAAGACTCCGGATTCGGAGCGCCCTTCGTGGATATGACGATTGGCCAAATTAAAGTCTCCGGATTCAGAGCCCTCTTTGGTGCATGACACCTTAGGGCTGATTAAGACTCCGGATTCAGAGCGCCCTTCGTGGATATCACGATTGGCCAAACTAAAGTCTCCAGATTCGGAGCCCCTTTTGGTGCATGACACCTTAGGGCCGATTAAGTCTCCGGATTCGGAGCGCCCTTCGTGGATATCACGATTGGCAAAATTAAAGTCTCCGAATTCGGAGCCCCCTTTGGTGCATGACACCTTAGGGCCGATTAAGACTCTGGATTCGGAGCGCCTTTCGTGGATATCACGATTGGCCAAATTAAAGTCTCCGGATTTGGAGCCCCTTTTGGTGCATGACACCTTAGGGCCGATTAAGGCTTCAGATTCGGAGCGCCCTTTGTGGATATCACGATTGGCCAAATTAAAGTCTCCGGATTTGGAGCCCCTTTTGGTGCATGACACCTTAGGGCCGATTAAGTCTTCGGATTCAGAGCGCCCTTCATGGATATCACAACTGGCCAAATTAAAGTCCTCGGATTCGGAGCCCCTTTTGGTGCATGA